AACTGCTGAACAGCTGCTACCCATGAACTTCAGCTTGCTCAGCTTTTTCTAAAGGGCGGAGGGTGGGGACCAAAAAACCAACCAACCTGCTCTTAAGTGACTCACCCAAGGAATCTATGACAGAGCCAGGAATTGAACTAGGCCTTGGTGAGACAAACGGCTTAACCGCAAGTTTCAGCTGCCTCCGTCCCCTGTCCTACCTGGCGTGGAGCAGTAAGTCCACTTCTTGTCCACGTCATAATTCCTGGTGGTGCTGCACCACAGTTTTCCTGAGCTCGCCCCGTCGCTGGTGCAGGTGTGGTACTCTTGTTTGTTATAGGTGAAGGGGATCGCACAGCTCTTTCCTACTGCGTTCCCACCCAGGACTAGGGAGGCAAAGGGAGGTGATTATAGACACCGCCAACACGCCCACCTGCCTATGGACTAATGGCTCCCGCATCCCACTCATCACCAACCCAGCTACCCATCACCAACAGCCAAGAAATCTCAGGTAGGCTTTCATAGATCCCAAGGCCAGAAGGGACCATTGTGATCATCTAGTCTGACCTGCAGAACACAGGCCAGTGAATTTCCCCTGGTTCTCTCTGTGTTGAACCCAATAACTTGGGTTTCACTCAAGTATCTTCTAGAACAGCATCCAGTCTGGATTTGAAGACATCATCGTGGCTAAAGCTTCTTCCAGGAAAGCCAACACTCGCCTTGGACAGGAACCTGCATTTCCAAATCCCACTGAGGTTGGACCCTCCATCGGTTCTGGATCTGATTCTATGGCTGCTCCTAAACCCTGGCCTTGAACCTTTCCTGAAGGAATCCTTAGAGGCTCCTTCATCTGCTGGGAGGGGTGTGTTGTAAGCCACTATCCCACCAACCAATCAGATAGACTCCCACTGCCCAACTCCCATTGGTATCAATGTGTTACAACTCCTCATTAGCTCAGGGGCACAGCAGAGATGTGATGAGATCATACAGGAGATCTGGAGGCCCCTGGACAACTCGGTAAATAGAGGTGGATGAAACTTTTCAGATGAAATGTTTTTGGCGAAAAGTAAGGCTTCAGTGAAGCCAAAATGTGTTGTGAATTTGTGTCAGTTTTGTGGGATTGTTTGTGTTGGAAAAATGACCAAAAATGCAGAAAAAGTCAATTCTTCAATTTCAAACAACTTCTGCTTTCAAAATCTCCTTCTATTTTATTAAAACCAAAATTTAAAAACTTTAAAAAATGCTCAAAATTTAAATGAAATGTTTCATTCAACCCAAAGGGATTTTTTCCTTAAATTTTCAGTTCAATGACAATTTAAAACAAATAATTTTTAGGATCCACCCAAAACAATTTTGTTTCCTGATTTTTTAATTCATGAAAAGTATCAAAGAAAATTTCAATTCCAGGATCCACCCAAAGTGTTTTTTCCCCGGTCTTACAAATGATGGAAATTTTTGAACAAGTTTGTTTCTGGGATCCTCCCAAAACACATTGTCCCCTGATTTTTTTTGATTAATTAAAAACTGTGAAATATTTCATTTTCTGGACAACGCGAGACAAATTTTTTTCTAATTTTTTGATTCACTGAAAATTTCAGAAATTTCATTTTAGGAATGTCCTCTAAACCATTTTTCTGACTTTGCAATGCAATGACAATTTTAAAAAAAATGAACTTTCATGAGCTACCTGAAATGCGACCCCCCCCCCATTTTTTGATTCAATGACAATTTCAAAAAAAAAATTCATGGCAATCCAAGACAAGCTCCTCCCCGTACCCCGGTTTTTCAGAATTACCAGCAAACCACAAATTAGTTATTTGCCCGGCTGTATGGGAAAAGCCAGAGTCAGATCTGCCCCAGAGGGAATATACGAAGAGACTGGATACATTACTGATATCTGGACAGTAGCTCCACAGCTTATCCTGGTTGTAGTTCTTGGTTGTGGCACACCAGAAATTTCCCATATTGTCTCCAGCGTTGGTGCAGCTGTGAAATAGCTCGGTTTTGTAGACAAAAGGAAATATGCAGCGCTGACCATTCGAGTTCCCCCCATAGGCTGCAAAGGCAACGAGTAAATCAGAGTGAACAGCAGGAATGCCAAAGAGAGAGACCGTCGTGGCCGTTTTCTTAACAAAAAAGAAAAGCCGGGGTAGGGGTGTCTCATCTCACTGCTGCGGTGAAAGCCAAAGATTATTTTTTACAGTGGGTGAATGGCATTGCGCCTAGGAGCATGGGATCACCCCTGGGGCCCATCTAGCCTGGCATCCCGTCTCTGATGGCCGCATCACAAGGAGGTGCCAGGCAATCTGGCTGCACAGGGGAAGCCATTTGTAGCATGCAGCCCCTCCAGGAGCTCATTTGGCCCACAAGACTGGGTGACAGCACTCCCTGTGCTAGAGCTCCACATACCGGCATGTCCTCCACAAACTCTTTTCCTCTGTGCCAACACGGAGCGCTCTGGTCACGACCAGGACTCACCCTTGCTCAAGCAATAGCGCCACAGATGGTCTTTGTCATAGTTGGGAGTGGTAGCACACCAGGGCCTTCCCATCTGGTCATTGACTGCCGTACAGTTGTGGTAGGTATTGCCCTCATAGATGAAAGGGAAGACGCAAGGGGAGCTGTCTGAATTTCCCCCTGCCGCTGGTGGAAAAAGAGG